TGTGTGTAAATTTTGGAAGTGACTTATGCAGTTATGAACGGAATATTGAATATTACCCAAAGATCACAATTCCCAAACCACGAAACATTTTCTGTGGATCGTTTGTGACCCGTGTGTTGTGTCAAGACACCACCACAGTGGAATGTTTTTTCTTTTCAGGTGACTGACCTCAAACAAAGCACGTGATGCCAAACAGTGGTGAAGAGAGTGGCAGAAACCTTTCGGAGCGTAGTCAATGTAAAGTGCCACAAATACGATCACGTTTTAAAATTGATAAAATACACTTATCCAAAAAGATGAAAAAGCTCTATTCAACCCCATTTTGATGCTACGAGGGACATATTATACTCATATTAATTTAAAGTTTTCTAAAAACGAACGATAGATTAACCGATTGGGTAATCACAACCATTTTGTCAAAAGGGTTTTTCGTGAATCGCAAATAACCAGTCGCCTCGCTTACCCCACTCGCGCACGATGTCACTTCCAGTGTATGATTTATCTTCTTGTTTTATCTCTAGGTCGCTTGGATTCGCCTTCGGATGTTGTCGGTGCGTGCCATCTGTCAATGCACACAGCTCCTGATGAGTACGGTGAAGTTGAGTGAGGGACTGCTTACCAATACGGAGCAACAAGCATCTGCGAAGCCGGAATCGGATACAAAGGCGTTGGAAGCGCTACAACAGCTTGAAAATGACAAAAACATGTTAACGAACCTTGTGCATCAGACGGATGGTACCTCTTTGATCGGTGTGAAAGACGTGCATGATCTGGTAAGTAAAAGACTGGCTAGATATCTTTGCGGTAACTCTGCTGCGCAGTTCACTGATTGAAGCGATGGGTTTTTATAAATTATTGAGGTTACTTTTTAACCATAACTTAGCTTTGCACTCTCAGTATGTGAAATTTGATTGCGTCATTTATGTATCAAGTTAAATGGAAGTAGAAAGGCTAACAATATTATTCTAGTTCGACTTGGAGACTATCCTCAAGACATTGCATGCACCTGATGATTTCAATAAATGAGCTCCAATGCAATGGTTACCATTCGGATTTGGAATGCGGCACGTGGACACGTGAGCGCTATTCTTTTGTGATAGTCATTCACCAGATAAATGGGAAACGTTTTCGAAGGTGGCTGTCTATCACGTAGCCTAAGCATGTTCATCTTCTGCTGTTCATTGCATACTTCTATTCTATCTCTTCTTCTTCCCTTAACTTTGTCAGCTTTCAAAACTTGCTTTGCCGTCTACACACCTGCTTACTGCACCGGTTCAACTCCCCGAAATCCAACCAACATCGCTCTATTTACATGGACCTTACAGAACAGTTTTGGAGTCCGGTGTTCGACTCTTAGTTGGCATTCATCGTTTGTTGGTTGACGGAAACGGTAAGTGCGTGCATGTTTGTTTCAACTTCGACGCTTGATTTTACTTTTACTTGTTCCGACCTGTGCCTAGACAAATTTCCGCAGTTCAGTCAAAAATCATCCTTCACGTTTTCTTTCTTTCTTCATTTTCATTTGATTGAATATACGAAGGTACAATTTTCAGGAAGGGGAAGCAGCCAATCAGAGGGCCGCCATTCAACAGACAATGGGGAAAGTCGGGCGGTAGTGGTGGGATTCGAACACATCCCCTGGGTGATAATTTGGTGACGTTACCACTGCCTCATCGAGAAGAATGAAATAAGAGAACACATTCAGAGGTGAACAATTGTTTTCGTTGATTTATATTCTAGCCTGTACGGATCAAACAAGGAAATGGCATGTTGGACGGGGATAGTCATTCAACAACAACATGCCATTTCCTTATTTGATTTGTAAAGGCTAGAAGATGAATCAATGAAAACAATTGTTCGCCTCTGAATGTGTGTTCTTATGTAAAAATGGGTATATTCTGGAATTTAAGAATGAAATAATAAACGCCTTCTTGCACCTCAAAAGTTACTGAGAAATGCAGTATTTACCCGCACCCGATTCATAAGAATTCGAGTAAGATCAGGAACAGTGATGTTTTTGTCAATGCTGGAGGCTAAGAAACTAGTAGCTGAACATGTTGAAGTACGAGTGTTGTTTGTATAACTCTCGATGCAGACGACAAGTGGAGTCCGGCATCATTTTCTATGCCTATTTTTAATTTGCGGACAAGAGTAGTTTACACAATTTTGTAGATGATTCATTACAGGGTATAAAATACATGACTGTTAATCGACAGTCTGATGAAAACCCCGTAAGCTTCCCATAAAACGGAGATTAACAAAGGAATGGTCAAGAAGAACAGGGAAGATCATGGTGCACAAAGTGAGAAGGCGAAAAAACGACATCCGGAGCCATAACCTGGTCGGTACAACACTAACAGCTTATCTGCATCGGTCGAACCACGAGGCAGCTATCAGACAGGATTCGCGCACACCACCCCCACTGGTTGAGATACGGTGTAACTAGGACGGCAAAAAGTTCTATCAGTCAACGTATACTAGAGACACGGCATACTATCAATGTTGATCAGGCTTTCCGCACCATTTACCACACGCCATCATCGCTGCCAAAACGCCTTCGGTTTATCATTCTGTGCACAGCCGAGGCGTTAGCTATCCAAACATTGGATCCCCTACCTATGCAACCAAAAGCTGTTCGTTTGGGCTCTAGCCTTGCCGAGGTCTCAGATGAAGAAACCCACCCCACCCTTGGTTTACGTACCTATGAAGTACTGGAGATGAGCACCAGGTAAACAATCTTAGCATACGTTCTGTACTTAGTTTGATGCGATCAAAACCAGATCGACGAGTCTAAATAACTCTATATAATTGTAATGGTCCGTTGATGAATTTATCGAAAAACAACTTGTTTCGCCTACCAGACTTTATTTACCTAGAGCATTTAGCTAAAAATTCTGATCCCAATCAAGCAAGGAGAGGCGTACGAATCGTACACACTTTTCTGATTGTGAGAGTGGTCACGGTCTCAATTGGGCTCACAGATGTATTGTGCACCTTGAACGCTTGAATCCGTCGAAACGGTGTATGTTCCGAATAAACTGGACTCTGGTTCCCAGTGGATTGCGGTTTTTCAAATGCCGCCCAGCTGTCTTGCAGATCAGGCTTTTGCTACTAGAAAACTCTGACCATGTATTTCCCTGCTTTGGCTTGGGCAACCTAGCAGTGTCACTTCCACAAGCACATCTCGGAAACGTTTTTCTTTGAATAAAGATCATTGTACTGTAATTTGTTAAGCACAGTGTGGATTAAAACTGTGCTATATATTTTGGTGGCCGTTTAGGAATTGATAGACATAGGATGAATCAGTTTCGTTTAATTTCGTTTTTAATGACGCGGATACCTACCTAACCATTGTTTATGAAAATGTTTCTTGGCGTTTTCTCCGTTTTAAGGAATTAATGCAACCATTGAAGAGAATTGTCAAGGGACATCATACGTCAATACGTCAAATCTAACTGACCATGTCGACAAAAATATGGGCACGGTTTTTAATGAAAAAGAAACTATCTTCGTTAAGCTTTACTCGCCGTAAATAGGTACCATTGCTAGATCATCCTTTGAGTTGGACAACGGATTTTTACTCATCTATTCTTTCCTGGACCGTTTAAATGTTCGCTTATTTCAGAGTCCTTCACGGAAGCTGAACAAACTGCCGCATTGCAAGTCCTCGCAAGCCCTTTCCGCACCATTCCACAACTGTTGCAAGGCGATGGTTCATCAGATTGGGCCGCACTTCCTCGACCCAAACCAGACGCAAGCACCTATTTGAATGCATCTCCCGAAGCCCATAGTCCAGCCAGTATGCTACTCCTTTTGGGCATGCTGTACGAAACATTCTCTTTGGTTTGCATGTTTGTGTCCATGGCGCGCAGTATTCTTCGGCCAAGAAGGTCAGTCCTCCCAAACTTGTGCTCGTTGTGATTCGATCTTGTCGCGCTTCGTTGTTTTATTGCCAAGACTTATTTGATTTCAGTCCCATGAACCGGTTGTTCTTTCGCTTACAACTTTGGAACGCTGTCCATTTTATGAACAGTCGTCTTAGGTTTTGGTCCACTGAACAACATCATTTCTGTTGTTCTTATTGCTTTTAATAACAATATTTATATTAAATAGTAGTAATAATAACGATATAATTACTAATATTGATGATAATTTTACTTAAATAGCTGCGCTCAAGTCATGTAGAATGTACGGCTTGGTGTTAACTTTGAAATAATCCTTTTTTTCTTTCCAGCCATCATTTACAGCAAGCAAGTAAACGCCATCGGCGGAAGGCAGCAAAAACACGTAAAGCGAAGGGACCCAACGACGTAAATGAGGAGGAGAACGAGACCACACACATAATGGAGACTGTTGCTTTCAAACGTCTTGATGAAATCGGTTCCAGTCTCCTCTCTGTCATAGATAGTCTGTCCAAGAGTGCATCGAATCTCTTGGAGGTTGTGGACGCATGGCTTCTTTGGTCACGTAACCACGCTGCACAAGAGCTGTTAGCGGCTTCCGCTTCCCTTTGCTCAGAATTATTCCCGGAAGAGTTAATTACCCAGGTAACGTCCTGTGCTTCTTTCACTTTGCTTGATTTTATGGTTATTGGTCGTTGTTGGTCTGTAATCACGGTATTTTAATACTTCTGCCAATTTTTATCTCACTCACACATCGAAGAGGTTTTATCTCTAGGGGTTCATCGCCTTGCTAGGTGACAACACACAGACAGTCAAACACGCTTTAAACTGCTTGACGATCGAGTTATCCAGGTATAGTGTGTGCTTTGCGCCTTCCAGTTGCATAGTGCTTGTGCAAGACAAAACCAATAGGAGCTTGTGCCTCCAGTCATCCTCTGCGGTGATCAGCTGGAAGTGGTTGAGAGCTTCAAGTACCTTGGGATCTTGATCGCAGTCGGTGCTGGGGAAAAGAAGTAATCGTTTTACACCGCCTCCGATGGTTTGGTCACGCTTTGCGTATACCTGCCACCGACTACCTTTCCGTACTCTCTTTGCACGTGCCAGGCAAAGCTGAAAGAAGCGCCGCGGTGGTCAGACCATGACACGGAGTAGAGGTATAGAGAAGCTGGCTTCAGTTGATGCAGCCCACCTTCCAGATTGGGGCCCAAGGGATGGGGATTGTTGTTGGTTAGAGACGCTGAGAGATATGGCCCAGAATAGAAGTCAGTGGCGCAAATGCTGTTGATATCCCGTACCTAGCAAAAAAGCCCGATAAGTTCCTACAAAAAATATCAAAAGGTGTACGGTGAAACAAAAAAACTGCTTTTCTCGTTTTTGAACTTTACTATCCGACCCTCTCTACACTTTCTTGTATCCCACCCCCCATTTTCTGTTATTCTTGTGTTGCGTTGCACCAAGCTTGCTTGCAAGCCGTTGATAAATATATGCATATACATATATAAATATATCCATCGCAAACTGATCCAGGTTTATCATTCATCCGTGCAAATTCTGTCAACCGTCCTCCGATTCATATGCAACTGTTGTATGCGTAGTGAATCAGTTTAAGCATATTGTTATTTCCGTGCGATGACAATTCAAAAACCTTTGTATCTCTGATTAGCTCTTCTGTTCTGAGTGCACAGTAGCTAATATGGATGCAGTAATATTGATTTGAACTGACCATCCTCCATTTTTCTCCACTCACAATCCTCGGTTCTTCCAGTGAACTGTAAGCTCCGATAACACGAGTTTCACCCTGTTTAGAGCTTATTAGTCGTACGTGGTCGCCGTTCTGTCCGCGCTTTGAACTCAGGACCCATCGCATAGGTGTGTGTGTGTGTGTGTGTGTGTGTGTGGTATCACTATGCCAACCAGCTCACATTGGCTTTCACTAGGATTTCCTCTTCATGTTTGTTCACATGTCGCCTCCTGAGGCATTCAGTCCTTTCTTTGGGTCCGGCAGCAACGAAAGGAGTCACGCTAAACTACCCGTTAACTCTTACTGAAAGTCTCTCGAGGTGACATGTGAACAAATATGAAGAGGACATCCTTTTTAACTCCAATATGAGCTTGTTGGCTTACTGGTAACATACACGCCTTCCATGCCATAGGTCTGGGGTTCTAAACCGGGACGGCAGATGTGCACTACTGATAAGTTCTGATGTTTACAGTTGATTGAATGAACTAAGCAATTTACGTGATAATGGTCAGTTCAAATCAATAACATTTATTCCACACCATTACTTGCACGTACCTGTAAGTGAAATGTCATTGTAATAATACCTGTAGTCGTGGTTTTTTTACTCCAATCGCGTTTTTATCCTACCAAAATGCAGTTTATCTTCCGGAAATGCCCCGGGGCCGAGTGAAAGCTGCTGAGAAACAAATGGGAAAGTAGGGCGATGATGGCAGTGTTAGAATTAACAGACTGTACGATGTGACGGACAGAGGCTCTGCATCGCTCAGCCATCACCGCATTCTCTGAAATCACAAGTATTCTAGACTCAGATATGGAGCATTGGGCTGTAAGTCATTAGCTCATCGTTTCTTCCTTGTTTCATGCCCGGGGCTAGGATAGCAGAACTGATCATCATTCAAGTAGGTTAGGTGTAATTAGCCGTATTCAACGACGGTCCTATGTAGCCATTATCCATCGTTGGACCACCTCATTTGTATTTATGTTACTTTTGTAAGCTTATATGCTTACATTTCAGTTTACAATGTACACCGGTCGTCACACGGAATAAAGTATACCATTTCATATAACATAAGTAATTAATGTCGCGGAATTTTGTTTCATGTACAAAAACTGTGACGTTATTCACTTGCGACCTGCTCCTTTTTGGTTAGGATACCGGCCAGTTAAGGTACAGGGGAATTTTTATAAATGTTGACACGAAAGGAGGAGCGTATGGACAGATGGCAACAACAAGATGATAGATTGGGATGCAGTGGAGAGTCCAAAATTTTATTGGCAAATTTAACACCAATAATGAGTTTTGGGATTAATGATGCTCGAATGATTATCCTCACATCAAGATGAATGGCTTGGAAGTCTTGTTTCAAAAGGCCGATAAGCACTACAGGAGAGCGATGATAAGATAAAATCGAACCAATATAGAGAAGCGTTATTTGACAAGTGCCTATGATTTTAGGATAGTCAATAACTCCAGGTAACTGATGAACTTACCTTTCCGGTGATAGCACCAAATTGATGAAAAGTGCTTTTAAGGGGTTGTAAATATGCTGTTCATCTTGCTTCATTCTTATGTTCGAGGTATCTGGGGCGTGCTTTCCATCCCTGTTTCTCTAAACTTCCTGGTTCACATTGCTGTAGTGTGCACTAACCAGCTTTTTAGTGTATTTCGACTGCTTTCCGTTTGATATTATCTGTCTCCGAAATGTTGCTTGTGTTTGGTTCCCACATCAAATAAGCACAGTTGATGTCCGCTCGCCGCTAACGGTATCGCACTCTACAATTTCCGTTGGCATGTTTATCCTTTGTCTTCCGCAGTTTTCGGTTTATAATATGTCCTATAAACAGATAAGTCTACATTCGTGGTACCATTGGTTTGCAGATTCCAATAACTCAATCAAGCGATTCACTTACTAACGACAAGCTAATTTGACCCCTCGCTGAAATCACTCATTAGTGATAATGACGATAAATGGAATATGTTCCAAATCTGTTCGTCGTTCCTATGTCCTTGATAAACTGTGGAGATTCTGCGGTTTTCTATTGAAATTTGTACCAACGAAGTACCATTTCAATCAGACAATTATAAAACTGGGCCCTATTCGAGTTACCTTTATAATTTTTATCGATGCTTTTTCAGCAAAAGACCTCGACCTATTTCCGTGTATCTTGTTTTTCCACGCCATTCATTCTCGATTTATATATAGGTTTTTTAGAACTTCCAATTCTGAGCACCTCATGACTACTTTAATTCAATTGGTTTCGTATTTCGCAATGCTGAATAATGTATCTACCGTGTTTCTTCTCCCCTCTTGATTCTTGCGCACTTTTTCGCTCCGTTTCATCCTCCCATACAGTATCCTGTAATAAAGCCAAGTCAGGTGACTCCGCTAATGACCCAAATAGTGACAAACTATGAGGAGAGCTTTGCCCGAGTCGCTTCCGGTTTGCGTAAAAAATCTGCCAATCTGAGTCGCATTTCAACTGAACTGCAAGTGTACGATTGTAGTGAAAAACTGGCCTCTTGCCGCCTCAATGAATAGAAAGTGTGCTATACAGCGAAGTATGGCAATAACCATGCGCCCCACCCTATCCCTGATTCTCACCTACCCCCTCGCATGTGTCCGTCGGTCCCCGAACAGAATCAGTCTCTTGGTTTTACCCCTAACCCAATTCCAATCCAGGTGATTTGCAGTCCGGCTTTTCCTTTTGCTTGGACTATTTGAATGTGAGTATTTTTCGTTGTTTCCTGCATGCTGTTCGGTCTCCCCATCCGTTCTCTCTCTCTCTCACTTCTTGAACTTGTAACCAGTTCCTCATCCGTGGATCGTATCTTGATCTGTTCCAATGAATGTATGTTTTACTTGTCCCTCTTCGTTCCCTGACGCATTTCTTGCCCCTCCCTCCCCCAACACCTTGGCACCTCCAACGTTGCCCAACCACTCACCAAAGTGGTTCCGCTACCCTTGTTGCCGTTGTGCACATAGTACATGAGTTATTTCAAATACATTTAGGATTGATCAATGCCCATGCTTTTTTTCTGCTGAACACGCCGATTGTATGCAACTTTTTTTTCCGTTTTGCGGTTTCTTGGAAAACTATCTCGACTGGTTGCACTGAGTGTGTTCGCTTTGGAGCTACTGAACAGACTTCCTATTAACTTGGCGAACTTAGTTTGAATTAGTGGATGAATTCGAATTGGACTCTGTATCGCTATTCTGTTTTTCACTCAGGATGAGGAGCAAATAATAGGACCACTGAAGTTGGATTCATTAGGTGTTAGAGACCAAAGTTAACTCCGGTCTCTTGATGTTCTCTCCTGCTTCTGAGCATCTACGATATTTTACGAGAAGTAGTAGCACGAGTCATATGCTACTGCCATACAATACCCAACATTAATAATGGTATATACCAACGACGCGTTTCCTGCGGTGCGGTTGATCAGTTTGTACGGTCTCGGCTTTAGTGGAATTTTTCTGCCAATTCTCGTCGTACAACATCCAGTTGGCACTCATTCG